AACAAACACATAAGTCCTAAAATGACATCGGCCTCTGCTAAGGTAAGCTGTCTCTTGTTTTCACCTGTCCGAGCATTTAATATTCTCAGTGTCCGAACCTTTTAAATAGCTAATCTCTCAGCTGCGCACCGAATCTTATTCAGAAACTTAGCAATTATATATTTTTTGGGGTTTAAAAATAATACAGACTGGATAGGATAAATAGATTTTTTACGAAACAAATCATCAGAGTCTGTAGATGAAATCGGCTCACATTAACATTATGTATGAGTTAAATAATAAAGAAATAAATACTCGGTGTTGTTGATGGTTTTTCTCCATTCAGTTCAGTTTTTATACCAAAGTAAACAAATAAGTCATGTGTCAATAGATTTTTTATTTTTATTTTTATAACTAACAAACTCTATTCCTCACCACACTTTCACTACCTGATAGTATATCATCAGTGTTAGTGGACTATGTTTAGTCATTAGCAGTCATCAGGGAACTTCTGAAAGGGGCTGAATACTTCTGCACATCAAACTTTTCTCTTTTTTTAGTTGTAAATTGTTTGAAATGAAGAATATATTTTTTTCTACTTCACCATTGTGTCACACTTTGTGTTCACTTTAGATTCCAGGGAAACATATTTATGTTTGTGGTTGTAATGTGACCTAAATATAGAAAAGTTCAAGTTCAAGTGGTATAAATGCTTTTGCAAGCCACTGTACATGTAACAAATGTAACAACTGGATTGAATGATTTAAAAAGTGATGATGTTGATGATCGAGTGTGATGATGAAGAGTTGGATGTCTTCTCTGCAGGTCGGGGAAATCTTCTCTGCAGCTGGAGCTGCTTTCACCAAGCTGGGCGAACTGACCATGCAGCTTCACCCGGTGTCTGACTCCAGCCCTGCAGGGTGAGCCTCACCCTCACACCGTCACAGCTAACCGGCATGAAGGCTCATGCTCAGCTCTCTCTGACATGAATCCGTCCTGCCAGCCTTTGAAACAAGTCAGATCTCTGAAATAATCAGGAAACTGTTCGTTCCTCTGTCTCTGTACACAATCACAGCAAACAGCAGCAATTTAAAGCAGTTATGGAAAATAAATCTATAGTTCTGTAACCTCACATGTATCAGACCTGTTCCCATCAGTCTGTTTCAGTTCAGGCTTCAGGGTGGTTTTTAAATCAGTTTGAATTAGAGCTGAAGTGTAACGAGGATCGATCCCTGTGGAACTCCAGAGACGCCTCTCACTTCCTATTTGAGTCTTACAGCTGACCCAGCCTGTGCTGGTTCTGGTCTCTGACCCGGTTCTGGAGGCAGCTCCTCCACAGTGCCGTGGGTCGGTTCTGTACCGGCAGGACAAACTGAAGTGACGCTGTGTTCGTCCTCAGAGCCAAATGGACGGAGACGGAGATCGAGATGCTGCGCCTGGCCGTGCGTCGCTTCGGAGACGACCTCAACAACATCAGCACCGTGATCAAAGAGCGCACCGTGTAAGTCTTAAAGGAGCCACAGCAGGTTCCACTGGGTGTCCAGCAGGGGGAGCATGCACGGTCGTCATGGTGACATCTTAAGTGTGACAGCAGCAGCTATATAAATGCTACACCGACATGGTATTTAGCAGATGCTAGCACTGTACCAGCAAGGTAGTGCTAACGTTAAAGCACTTTACCAACATGGTATTCAGTGAACTAGCGCTGAAGAAGTGCTACACTAACACTGTGTTTAGCAGAAGCTAATGCTAAGTTATATAGAAACATGGTATTTAGCTAAAGCTAGCGCTACATGAGCAAAGTATTTACTTGAAGCTAATGCTGTACAAAGATGGCATAAAGCAGGAGCTAATTGTAAAGCACTAAAATGCTAACTTTAGCCATGTTGGTACATACCATGTGTCAGTGATGCATTACATCATAGCTCTACAGTTGAGTATTGCTAATTCTGTTGCTGATTTTGTCTATTTAACCAAAAGCACCAAGAACATAAGTAGATTTTAAACTGTTTACTGTATACCAATGCATTCTGGGTACAGAGTAAACTTTTGCTGCACCACATCACATGTGAAGTTGGTGAGGAGAGGAAATGGGAAAGCTGTGTCTTCAAAATAAGAGCATGAATATAAACGCCTAACTTTATTCAACTGAAAGTTTACAAAACAGCCAATTATAGCAGTGCTTTAGAATCTATCCAGAAAAATTAATTTAACTGCGCTAAGCGTTTTTAAAGTTAGCAAAAATGCTAATTGAAAGATTAGCTTTGCTGTCAGCATTAGTGGTTTAGCAGGTCAATGGAAGTGTTCCCACTGCTGCTGAAGCCTCTCTGAGCTGCTGGTCAGGTCCAAGCTGAGGTGTACAGAGACAGACCAGAACCAGAACCCAAACTGACAGGTCCAGAACAGATCCCTGGTGTTTAGGATGATGTCATCATTAGGTTGATGTCATCACATGTCTGATGGCCTTCAGTCGTCCTCCTTTCTTGCTGTCGTCATGTTTTTTCTTCTTTGTGGGGGTCCTGATGACCTCTTGACCTCTGTGTCCCATCTCCAGCTGTGAGGTGGAAGCTGATTGGCTAATCTTCTTCTTCTTCTGCAGCGCTCAGATAAAGAGCACAGTGAAGAGGAAGCTGTATGAGGACAGCAGAGTCCCCATCGCCACCGAATCCCCCAAGAAAACTGTGAAGAAGGCCGCGGTTGCTATGGCGCCAGCCCCCGTCCCCGCAGCCCCTGCCATGATTGCCGTACCGACCTCGCAGGTCGTCGTGGCGACAGGGATGCAGAACAGCCCGTCGTTAGCCCCGCCCATTAAAAAGCAGAAGACAGCAGGTGAGAGAGGAGCGAGACTGAACATTCTTCATCGTCGTCCTCCTTTTCCTCATCACCCTCCTCTTCCTCCTGCAGACGTCACGCTCAGTGCTCTGAACGACTCGGACGTCAACAGCGACCTGGTGGACATTGAAGGACTCGGGGACGGCTCATCCAACAAGAAGCTGAACTTTGACCAGGGTGGGTAGACATTGCCGTTTGGTTCCGACCCATTTAACCAGAACCAGGAGGTTCTGTATCTGCAGTTCTAACCGTTCTCCCGTTTCCCCCAGAGAGCCTGAACCTGGACTCCAGCCTCATCATGAACTCCAGTGACCTTCCTCTGCTGTCCCGCTGACCTCTACGCTGAAGCTCCAGCCCCTCCTCTCCCTACAGGCTTTTATTCTGAAAGGACAGTGGAGCCAGTTTTACTGTAGAGGAGGCTGCAGGTTAATTGATCCCCGACCAGAACCAGACTGACCCGTTGGGTTCTGGATCTGGTCATCTGATGTTAATAAACAGCTGTTTGTTCTGGGTCAAACATCTGTTGTCTTCTTCTTCTAACATGGACGGTCCAAAACATTTGGACTCTTTATTTGCAGATATTTAGCATTCCGGGGACTCGGGTTGTTTTATTTGGAAATATGTAAATAAAAGATTCATTAATGCTGGAGAAAATAATTTTATACGAACTGTTGAGACTTTACATGCATCCAACCGTTTTTTTACTAACCAAACTCAAATCAAAGTTCAAATCTCTCACATATTCTCTCTCCAGCTTAAAAAAAAAATCTGAAAAGTTCTGTTGATTCTGACCCAAAACATAAGTGTGGTTCTGGTTTAACTTCAGACAGGTATGTGTAAACGTCTGGCCAGTAGCAACAGTGCCAAATTTTGCTGGCGCTAATCCAACATGGTATTTAGCAGAAGCTAATGCTAAACACAGAGACTTTATTCAACATAAAGTTTACAAACAGCCAATAAATTAATAGTTAAGAATTAATTTACGGGAAACTGTGGTAAATGTTTTCAAAGTTAGCACTAAGCTAACAATTAGCTTTGGAAGAAGTCATGAGTTGAGAGCGTTGTTCTGTTTGATGGAACAGACTTTATTTCACTGGCAGCTTTTATAAACAATATATATCATGATATTTATCGGGTCGGTTCTCCACGGTGGAACCGGGCCGGGAATGGATCAGAAAAATATGTCGTCTCCTCTGAGCTCAAAGAAAAGCGGAAATATTTACAATGAAATCAGGACTGATCTGCTTTTAGTTCCCTTTATCTCCGCGCTTCAAACCCGGACCAGAACCATAACTCACTTCTACAAGTCAAACTGGTTCAAGAGAATTCAGCCGGGATTCCTCCAGGTTCTCCACGGTTCTGATCCGGAGCATCAGAACCAGCCAAATTAAACAGGATCTGCAGAACCCAGTCTGGTTCTAACCAGAACCAGGCCAGGTTCTGATCGGGGAACATCTGAACACTTTGGTCTTCCAGAGTCAAACTTAATACTGAATCGGGTTCTTGTGTCTTTGCTACAGTGGTTCTGGTCCAACTGAAACCAGCCAGGTCCAATCAGACCTCAGTGTGGAACCAGAACCTGAAATCGGATCAGGACTCTCCAGAATCCCACTTCGACTATTTTTTGGCTTAGAAAGCTTCTGTGAAGCAGAAGTTCTGGTCCAATTCTTCTGCGTCCCGCTTGGATCCAGCTACAGAACCAGTTCTTAATGGGTCCATCAAAACCGGTTCTTCTTCATGGGTCCATCAGAACCAGGATGGAGGGGAAATGTGCAAATAAGAGAAAACCACAGAAAGTCCAGTTAAAGCTACTGGTCGGTTCTATTCTGCTTCATACCCCATTCAGCTAATCAGAACCGTGTTCTATGAAGCAGATTGGACTCTGAGACGGAAACCGAACCAGAAATAAATCAGAACCAGCAAAAACAGGATCAAAACGGTTCTGCTGCTCCGGCTCGATTCTGTTCTTCACAGGAAAATAAAGAGAAACAGAGGTCCGCAGAACCGGACCGGTTCAGGCACAGCGATGGATGAAGTAGAAAACTGTACAACTGTCAAAGTGCAGAAGCTGGAAGCAGAAGAAGAACCGGACCTGGTTCTGGACAGACAGAACCTGGTCGGGTCAGGTAACCAGCGGCGCCACCTGCTGACCGCTGCAGCTCATAAACCATCAGGATGACGATGACGATGATGATGTGCAAATATCGCATGGTGTTGGGTATTCTGGTTCTGGGAGATCAGAACCGGTTATGGTTCTGAGTGGTGAGGCTCTACCAGACGTCCCCGTTGTCATGGGAACAGGAGGTCCAGCTCCAGCAGCCTGGATGGGGTCAAAGTTCACCTGGAGTCCAGAGCGGACAGAACTGAACCCTGTGAAGTTTGGTGGTGTGGTCATGGTTTGTCACCGGACCGGGTCACCAACAGAAGCAGGACCCAGACAGAATGGCCTAGTCAAAGTCTGGTTCGTTAGAGAACTGCGCAGGACCATCCGGGTTGGACCAGAACTCCTGGTGGAAACGGGACTGAGCAGAACGTCGTCATGGAAAAGGGGATTAATGCACCAGACCACAGAACCAGAACCACTTTCTATACAAGATTTATGATTAACACAGAGACCGGTTCTGACCCGGTTCTGACCCAGAACGGCTCTGGAGCTGAGACCGAGTCGCGTTCATCAGAACCTCAGAGTTCTGGTCCGGTGCCTCCAGACGGTGCAGGGTCAAAGGTCAGGAGCGGACCTGTTCTGGGTCAATCTGGGCCCTTACAGCGCCGTGGGGACGCGTTTCCTCCTGGGGACACGTCCAGCGCGCCCCCTGACCTCCGTCCCCAGATGGGCGGTGGAGCAGCCAGCAGGGGGAGCCGCTGAGCAAGTCTGCAGGAAGGGGCGGGGCTTACAGTGATGCTGGCAGTTGATTGGGCAGAAACCAGGTGGTGGCGATGCATTGGGGGTGGTGCTCTAGGGGTGCTGGTGAGGGGAGAAGGTGGGGGGAGGGGACAGGGTCAGTGGACGGGGCTGGGGGCTGACGCCCCCTACAGGCGGAGCGTCCACGGTTGTCTGGGAGACGCTGCGGAGGATGGAGAGGACGATGAGTTCAGGACTGACTGACCCCACCTGAGCGTCTGCGCTGAGCCTCACCTGACAGTGTAGCTGCTGCCGCGGTGAGCGGGGTCCGTCACCCCAGCAACAAACAGCTTCTTCGGTGGCCCGTCCGAATCGACACCACCTGAAAAACAGAAGCCAGTTAGCGAGCCGGCCCGGATTCTGGTCCTGGAGGCGTCCGAACCGGAATGGCACTACCTTTCCTCTTCAGGGGCGTCAGCAGTGGCCATCTTACGGCGGTGGTGGGTCTGGCGGCGGCGGCGGGTCTGTGGGTCAAACACAAAAAAAAAAAAAAAAATCAAAGCAGCGCCTCACACTGGAGATCCAGATGAAATCAGGTGGATCAGAACCTGAACCTCCGGGTCGGGCTGGGCGACGAGTTGGGTGTGACGCCACTGTCCTGAGATGGAAACCACTGCAGGACACACAAAGGGTCAGAGTGTAATCTGGATTATCAGACTCCGTTTAAACATTTGAACCCCTCAATACTTGTTAATCCTGATAATCTAAACCACATATGAATCCTAATCTGGATTTAGTTTCAGGGATGAAATCCAATAAATCTGCTTTAAATTGGGTCTAATCTGGATTCCTGAAGGTATTGAGGTATAACTCGATACCTTCAAACTGATGTAGGTTAGTCTGACTAATATGAGTTTATATTGATCAAAAATTTAATCCAGATTCTGCCGGAATCCGGCTGTTTAATCTAGATTAAATCCAAAGTCATCCAGAAAATTTGACCCTGCTATTTTTTAATCTAGATTGATTGAAAACTTTAGCAGGATTATTTTCATTGTCTGAACACTCAAAACTAGATTCAGTCTAAACTTTAAGATCCCACTAATCTAGTCTAAATTAATCTGATCTAGTCTAATCTAGATTAAATCCAGATGGGTTCAATCCTGTAATTTGATCAAACTGACGTGATGCTGTGACCTAGAACATGATCCCAGGTTAAAACATTGAATCGGTTTGAGTTTCTCTGAACAGAATCAATCTTCTCTAACCTGAAACCGGTTTACCTGATCTGGATTCAATGAAACGGAGAGTAAACCGGATCAAGACGGAACCCAGTGTAAACCCTTGAGCTTCTTCGGATAAAATGAGCAAACCACCTGACAGGAAACGGCTTCTACCTTCAAAATAAGAGTGGAGGAACTCACCGTGGAGGTGTGGTCCTGCCACAGGCTGCCTGGCGGCACTGGAACCAGACTGGAAGCACTGGGAAGCAGAAGCGGAGCAGCGGTGAGTCCCTGAAAGGTCAAAGGTCACGGCTTGCAGGCTGAGCGATACCTGAGTCTGTGGATGTTCCCTCGGAGCGTGGTCTCCATGTTCTCCTCCTGTTTCAAACACAAAGTTCAATTAGTCAGTCCCTCAGAGAGGATCATGGGAAACCCGGTAAACTTTGACTCTGACCCTGACTCACCGGCCTCTTGTGGTCCAGTCTGTCCCCGCTCAGGGAGAACGGAGACAAGGGGACGAACTGAGGGGGACACAGAGGACATTAGACTAGGAAACGTTCACTGCACCACAGAGGAAGATTGACTGGATTTAACCTCCTCTGGTTCTGCCTGCTGCCACCTAGTGGCTGCGTAACGTAGCGGCTCCAGGCGCTCTGGTCCCGTTCAGGTCCAAGCTTTCTGGCCTGACTGTTCAGAGGTGTTACCGTGGTTACCCACCTGTGAGGGGTTGATGGACACGCTGCTGCGCCGGTACCGAGCCGAACACACGGGGCTGAAGACGGTCATCCCGTCACTGAGAGACCCAGGAGACAAAAACAACATTTGTTCCCACAGCTGCTAAAACAAAAGTCATAATATTATTTTTAATATTTATTTTAATTTGCAGAAAGGAAAGAAAACCCGATTCATTTTAATTAATTGAGCTTCTTGGACAGAATAATCTGAAGTTTTTGCCGTTCTGGTCTGGTGTTTAAATCTGTTTTTATAAAAGCTAAAGATACAACATGAGGACTGATGGAGCAAATATCTAGACAAAATGTTTTTCATGTTCTCAACTTTTTCATTTATATAGTGCCAATTCACATCTTGAGGCACCTTACATTCAATCAGACAAACAGTCCAACTGATACTAGTTATCAAACAGTACAGTAAATTCAATTAATTATTTGAAGTAAAAGTTTCTAATTAAACCCAAGGGATTGAATCAAGTTGTCGACTTGAAGCATTCACTGCTGAACGATAATGTAAAATGAAATTTCTTTTTCATTTTCAGCAGCATGTTTATTTTTAATACGTTTATGGACTTAAAATAATTATGAAGCACAATGGAAAAGAAAACCATAAAAACCAAACATATTTAAAATCACCAATAATCTTATTTTATCCATCATAAAATATCACAACGAAAATCTGCTTTCCCATAAGACACATAAAATAGTGACTTTAAAATTAAAACATTTTATACTAAATTAGAGGTTGAAGTTTATAAAATTTAACGGGATTTGGTACTTCTTATGTGGATGCAGTACCACTCACCTGACATTGGTAATCATGGGGGCGCTGTTTGATCTACGTAGTGCCCCGCCTCCTGCGCCTGCGCATTGGTCTACTTCCATCCGTTCCATCCCTTGACGCGCAGGCCCAGAGGTGGCGGCGTGGTAAGCCGCCCTCCGACGCTCCTACGGCGGTTGAGGGCTGTACTGTAGCCCGGTGGAAGCCCGACCTGCAGGCCTCAGAGGCAGCAGAGTCAGAGCCGCCGCGTCAGCGGACACAACGCCGGAGCTTCGCCCGCTTTACCGCATTTTCCACCGCAAAAACCGTCCGGATCTGAACGGGGATGCGGACTGGAGCGACATTTATCCCCTCAGAACCGATCCAGCTGCTGTACAGTAGAAACGGAAAAACACCGAACCGAAGTAAAATATTTAAAAACGAAGGATTGGGTTCAGTTCCCGGATAAAGTTAACCTCCGACGGCCTGTTTGCTCCCCGTGGGGACTCTTTAAACCCGCTCGGGACTTTCGGGATTAGCTGTTCAGCTAACTTGTTTTTGCAGTAAAACCTCCAACCACAGACCCAAATTCTGTTAAACAGCTGTCCAAACCTGCCGAACGGGGACTGGTTCTCCAGAACACGGAGAGAAGGGTCTTCACATTTTCCTCAGACACGGAGTGGACCCGCCGAAGAGCCCAAAAAACAGAGAAAAATAACAGTTTGGAAGATTTTTACAACATATAGTCCTTCACCAAATACAGGTAGTTGTGGAAGTGGAGAAACAGCGCCGCTTTGTGGCTGCTGGCGGAACTGCAGCTGCGATAAGCATCAGGAGCTGCTGGCTTAGTTTTATGGCAAACAGTTTCTGTCCAAGTCCAGCTCTCTGTAAAGCAGGGCTGCCCAAAGTCGGTCGTGGAGGGCCGGCATCCTGC